AACAACCAAACTGAAGCAGACAGGTTGATGCAGGAGAGAGCCGCACAGCACTGAAGAACCCTTCAGGGACCATTAACCACCCCTCGTCAGGCCTGTCTCGGTGGAAGTACCTGCTATGAACTGCAATCAACACCAGCTTTATCAATGACATTAGGGAAGTGACTTTACCTCTCCAAGCCCCTGCTTGCCTACCCTTTCAAGTGCGCCACTGGGGTGCTTGATGCATTTTTGAAAGTGGCTTAAAATGCTTCACATTTCCCAGGATTCAGGCATCTCGCTTCCTCTCCAGGTGCTACTGAACACCGATGGGCAGCGACCACCACAGAGCCGTGGGACACGGGCTGGTCGCCAGCAGGTCCTCGTGGGGCACCTATGGGTGCCCGTGGGGTGCTCAGCACCGCCAGCCTGATGTCCCCTGCCTCAAGCTCTGAGCTCCAGCCACGGAGCACAAAGCCTGGAGCTGCCTCAGCTCCTTCCCACCACCAGCTCGGGCTCCTCTCCTGCAGAGTCTGGATGTCAAAGTGCACCTGAGAACGTGGCTTCTTCCCACTCGTCTGCTCCGTGCTCCTCTGCCCTGCTTTTCATCTCACAGCTCTGGCAGATCACTGATTAATTCAAGCCTGTTTAATAACCCTTCTGTCTAGATGAAACAAGCTGTCTTGTTTCTTTATTTTTAACACTAACTCTTGTTTCTTCGCTAAGGATCTTTCTGTCATTTCTAAACTTCTCTCTCTCCAAGCAAGCTGATAACAGGCCGGAGAAAGCATCTGCTTAGGCCCACATCTGCCATCAGCCACAAGCTCCAGCACAGGGGCCGGACACCTCGATGGATAGGAGGTTCCAAAAGCCTGCTCTTGTCCCGTGAAATGATTAAAAATTCTCTCTGCTTTGCTGTAGCAAATCCCTGCACGGCTTCAGACCAGGACAAACACCAGGGACCGGCTCCGGACCATGCAGGGGTGAGGGAAGGAGATGGGGAGGAGCGGCAGAACTGGGGCAGAGCGTGGATCCCTGTGCCTCTCCACCCTGCTGTGGGCAGAAAGCAACCTTTGGTGATCCTGAGAGCCCTCACCCTGCCTGCAGCCCCCTGGCCGTGCCCCCAGTGCAGCAATCAATTCGCGATGGCCGGGCGGGCGCGGGGCCCTGCAGCTGCTCTGCCGCTGAGAGAGGCCCCACAGCCCCCGTCCTCCTCCCAGCCTTCACCTGCTCTCCCCACTGTCCTCATGCAGAGGGTTTTGTGCCTCGACCAGTTCTCCTCCCACCTCTGTCCCGTCCCATCCCGCCTGCAGGGCCGGCCCCGAGTGACCCACGGGGACCCCGCTGCCGATGGGGCCGAGCTGGAGCGGCTCAGCTGTCTCCTGCCTCTCTGAATTTCAAAGCTGCACTTGTCTGTAGAGCAACTGAGTCATTTCCTTCCTATATCCAGACTATCGGACCAGATCCAGCAGTGGCCGGAAAACAATAAATCCTTCAAGGACTTGTAAGGCCATATTTCACAGGAATGCAGCAGGCCCGCCTGCTGCGAGAGCTCCTCACACACCCTCGGATCCAAGGCTCCTCGTCTCGCCCCGTCCCTGTCCCACCTCCCAGGGCAGCCCCCACGCTCCCTGAGCATCACCTGGGGGCTAAGAACCGGTAACGAAATTTCCTCCATCCCATTCAGCCCTTGGTTCAGATGCTTTGTCAAAAAACCCTCTGTGCTTGAAGCTGAATTTCCACGCAGCTCTGAGGGAAAATTGGTGCATTTTCCAGGAGCAATCAGAGCTGCCTCCATCGCCTTTTTGGAGGCCAGAAACCAAACCCAACTGACTCGCCTGAAGATTTATAGCACCATTAATCAAATGAGCCCAAATACATGGGGAAAAACTAAGTGACAAGGAAATTAATATTATATCCTCCCCAGAAACAAGATGGCTCGTGCAGATAATACGGCAACGTGTGGTGCTTGCAATGGAAATTTCGTACAAGTCTGCAAGGAAGCGAATGGTTAAAAGCCACAGCGCTGGATTCACACTCAGGAGTGAAACCTCTGCCTGCAGAACAGCCCAATCCCACCCAAATTCTGCCTCCTAAAGTTAAGCCTCCCCGTGACCCAGTGCTCTGGGCAAAGTTAATTTTCTCAAACAAGTTACACAACGCCCTTGGAAGTCCTTAAAAGAGCCTCTGTTTTTGTTTGTTGCTGAAAATTCGTTCTAGGGCTTCCCGGCTCAGCCTGAGACAAGCTGTGGCTGCCTCCAAGTCAGCCAAATTATGGGGTGGAAGCGAGGGACCGGCCCTGCCCCTGTCACACAGCTCAGGCCCTGAAAGGCCCCGTTACGCAAGCACTTGTCCCAGCACCTTATTACACACCAGTGGACAAGCAGCGGGGCTCCTGCCTCTTTCTTCCAGTGAACTCTGAGTGCTTGCCCGTGCTCCTCGGTTGCTATGAGACTTGACAAACCGTCTAAACCTGCGGCCACCACGGGCCCTCGGCACAATTCCTGCCCTGCAAGGCCCCTCGCCTGCCAGGGAGAGCACAGCGGAGCTTGGAGCTGCTTCTGTGATGAGCTCCTCGCTGACTGCAGACAGCTTCATGGCAGCCCAGAGACAAAGCCTGCGACCAAACTTTTGCTGCTGCCCCAGACCTCAGCCAAAAGGATGATTTAATGCAGGCGTTTTTCATCTGGCCCATAGAGCTTCTGGAAAGCAACAGGCGATGCCTCCGCAATGCTGGGCTGATTCAGGAGGAGAGGGGCAGGCCCCAAAGGTCAGTTTTTAGAAAGTTCAAGGGCAAACAGAAGCACTTTCCGTGTCAAGGGGGACCTCGTGAAGCTCACACTCCCTGCTAGCAGGCAGCGAGCTTTGCTCAGCGTCTGGAGTGCAAGTATGTGAGCAGCAGCTTTGGAGAACAATTAATACTCAAGCAGTTGACTCAGAATAACAAAAAACCACCATTACCATCAAAAAAAAAATATGAAAGAGCTGCTCTCCTCTAGCAGTCTGGCCTCAATAAGCAGCTTTGCCTTTCCTGCTGACCTGCAGCTCCCAGAGCTGAGGGCTGAACTGAGGGCGGTATTTGGGCACCTCCGCTCCTACCTGTGCCCTCCCCTCAGCACCAGCAGTTAATAAACTGAAGGCAGCAGAATTAAAGCTCAGGGTCTGCAGCAGCACAGGTAAAGTTTGCATCCATGTGCACTAACCAGTGCTTCCCCGTGCTGGGTGGGTTTTGATAACGTGGCTGTGTACTGCATCCATACAGTCACCTCTCACCAAAACCCAAAATAGCCGAGATGCTTGGAGCGCACAGTGATGCCGAGATGTCCCCGAATCACACACAATACTTTGCAATAGGTAAGACCTGACGTAACGCCTGTGAGATGGCAAATCCTTCGGATAGGAATAATTTAGCCGGTTAGGAAACCTACGGCAGTGTTCCCTTTTCCTTCCCTGCCCCACCTCTTCGCAATTCTGTTAAAAGTGAAGAGGAAATTCACATGGTTCCTTTTTTTTTTTCTTTTTTTTTAATAAAACAACATTGCAGGCTGTGACATAAACCAGCAAAGACAGGAAATACGATCATGAGGGCAGTGCTCCATCCTCTACTCCTGTCACTGCGACTTTTTGGGTACTTGGCAAATGAATGAGCAAAGGAGACAGCCTGCATGTTTTATGGAGTTGAACTGTAACATCCCTGTTAAGCAGCCAACTTACCATTTTCCTGCTCTGACATCAATAAATCTCCCCAGCCACAGGGAACAAAGATCTTAACATGAACTGGCTGCACACGAGCTCCTCATATTTGGCTACCTAGGCAAACCACCGGCACGCTGTGGTTTGTGGCGCTCGCTGCTGTTCTGTAACATGCTCAAAGTGGGAAATTGCTCTTTTCGGTAACATGACTGGGGAGGTTTTAAGGCTGCTACTGACGTGCACACCTTCATTACAGCACTTGCTTTTCTGACAGGCAATTCCCAGAGGCTGGAGAATCCCAGCTTCCCACCGCTGGCAGACTGCGGCCTCCGTGGGGTTATGAAAGGAGCCTTGACAAGGCAGCGTCTGAAAGCGCAGCGCTCAGGAAGCAAATAACACTTAGAGCAGGTTCTGAACTCTATCAAAACGCTGGGGCTCAAAGGCGCTTTTTGGAAGCTTATTTCAAGGTGAACAGAGCAAATAAACGTGAGCAGGGAGGAAACCCCCGGCACACCTCCACGTGCTGCCGGGCTTCTGCTCCTCCCTTGCCCGGTGCCGCGGGGCGATGCTGAGCCACAGCTCCCCTCCCGACCCCCAGCGCCCTGTGCCATGCACGAGGCACTGCTCCCAGCCTTCCTTCATTGAGGACAGGGAACTGCTACAGAGGAAAAGCCGCTCATAAATCTCTCCGGGAGGCATTTGTTCCCAGCTCGCCGAGGCTGGAAATGCCACGAGGCGCCTGTCCCACGCTGAGCCAGCAGCCGGCGGAGGTCCCGCACGCACCGCGGTGGCTCCGCTTCCTGCCCAGCCCTCGCGCCCGGAGCCAAGCATTGCCCAAGAGCTTTCCTGTTTTCCCCACCGCCACTCGGCATCCGAGACATGGCACAGGGTGCTGCAAGCTGACCCCCCGTCGCTGCTGCTGAGTGAGTTAAAATTACTGTTTTTCTAATGCTGCTAACAGCCAGCCAGGAGCTGCAAGCAAAATAAGCTGTTTCCTTTAACCTTCCTGATAATGCACAGGGAACAGCCTCTGCACGGACTGTAACAGCCCGTTCCAAGCATCACTTGACTGCTAGACAGCCTAGATAGTGAGTTCATCTGCACCACAGCAAGCTCTGCCCTGCAGCCCCAGGTTTTCCCCCAGCACCCAGGGAAGCACTCAGGGCACTGCAGGAGGCAGGGGCTGGGCGCCTGTGCCGGCTCCTCTGGACATCCTCCTGCTAATCCCGGATTTTGCAGCTCTAACTGTTCCCACAGAAGCTTCTGCTAGCACAGAGACACCACAAAGCAGCTGCTCCCCTTGCTCCTGAGCAGCACTGGTGGCCGCAGCCCGGCCAGCAGCACGGGCACGGCGTTACGTGGTGCTCACACCGACCTGGAGAGCCTGCGCGTCCGAGAACAGCCTCCCCAGAGCCCAGGCAAAAGCAGATCCAACGCCACTTACCACACTCAGAGGAGGCTCGGTGGCAGCCAGGAAGGAGGCTGCCCTTCCTCACCAGCTCCTGCCTCGGCACTGAGCCCCCTCCCCGGCCGCACAGCCCCGGCTCAGCCCCCGGCTCCCTTAACGAGCACGGAGAGGAGCCGCGGCAGCAGGAGGCGGCGAGGTGAGAGGTCAGTGTAATATTTACTCAGACATCACCTTTCACTTTTATGAAGCGGGGAAATCGTGTCGGAGCAGGAAAAGGGCTGCAAGGGACATTCCAGCCTGGGAAGCCACCTTCACACTGAGAACAGCACGCAGCGAGATGGTTCCGAGCAGGCCGGTGTGCAGAGAGCTGTTAACACGGCCAGACACAGCACCAGCACCTCGGGGCAGGGCAGGATGGGTGCCGGGGCAGGGAGCAGCTGCTCTCGTCCCCACCGTGGGCACAGCATGGGCCCAGCTCGCAGGGCTCTCCCAGCTATCACTCTGCCTCTTAAGATGATCTAGATTTTTTTTTTATAATGCGATTCTGATGCCTTTTATCTCCTGCTCTGAATGTAATTTTAGCCCAGGCAAAGCAGGATTAAACTTTCATAATATGATACATTTATCTCGCTTTCGTTCACCCCATCACCACCTCCCAGCTCGATTTCACCCAAACAGAAGCAATGATTACAGCGAGAAACACGAGATGGGATCTATCAGATAGCAGAAGGGAGGGCACCTCTTTCCCAGCGCCCCGTCCCTGCCTGCCCTGCCGCAGCAGCCCAGCTGCCAGCATCAGGCTGCCAGCATCACTCAGGCCCCTCTGAAATACACAGGTGGATCCTAATTTGGGCTCAAAACCCAGCAGAGAGCACACAGCTAGGGTGCATCACTGATGTATGTTGCACCTGCGTGTTTGGGAAGGCTTTGTATGCCTTCTTGGTGACCTCCTGCTCCAGCTGCACCCCGGCAGCTCCCAGCACCTACACTTGGACCAGAAGAGCCACGAACCATGCCAGGGAGCCACAAACCATGCCGGGGAACCAGGCTTTCCTGGACCAGGAGCAGGAAGATCCAGCCTGCCTCAGCCAGGAATTTCTGGAGAGCACCAAACCCTTCCTGCCTCCCCCACAAGCGCTGTTTTCAGCCACCAGGTGCAGCAAAAGGAGGGGTCAGACCCGCAGCCACCTGCAGCTCCTGCGATCCCCCCTCCTAGCACCAGCCACCAACGCGCAGCGGTGGCTGCAGCTCCGCACGGCTCCACCAGCTCCTTCTGCGTTTCTTTTTGCAGGGAGGCTCCGCTCTGGCTCCACCAGCCTGATCCGGAGGATCCCCTCTAGTGGGACGAGATGGAATTTCAAGCCCACCGCCCGCTGCCATCCGCTCCCAGAGCCCTCCGTGCCCCGGCTGGAACCGCAGCCAGGGTGGGGGCACCAGGCCCGGGTGGTTCATGCTCACAGCCCCATCCCCAGCACCAGCACGCAGCCAACGTTTGGATTTTAACCATGGAGAAAAACCCAAACGTGACCCCCCCCGGGCAGCCGCCTCTGCCGCCCAAGGCCAGCCGCTGCCCTGCTTTTGTTCCCTTCTCTTTTCAGGGCCCAGGCGCTGGCTGCACCGCTCCTGCAGACAAAGGGCTCGTGGCCTCCACGCACCAAAGCGCCTCCGAGCCCCCGTGCCAGCCCCCTCGGGGCTCTCAGCGGGCGGCACAAGGAGGCCGTGCACAGGACACCCTTGGTGATGGTCCTAAAGATGCATCGGATCCCACCAGGGGTGTTGGTGGCTCAGGGCTTGGCAGCACCTTTGTCCCCCCCACACCCTGGGTTCCCCCTGCCCTCCCTTCTTTTGGTGTGGCGGTGGCCTCCTAGCCAAGCTGGTTAAGAGATTAACACTCTAAAAACCACATTTACTCTAATTAGCCATGAAATCTTTGTAACTAAGTGAAAAAATGTTTCCCTTGAGGGATTTTTGTCCATTCATCACTGTTTGAATTGCCAGGGAGAGAGAGGAGAGAAAGAAGAGAAAAGAGGGGGAGAAGAGGGGAAGAAAACCTCAGATCTAATGAATTAACGGCGGAGTGCCCCGGGGGAGCAGCGGGCTCCTACAAAACACCTCAAAGGGGGCTTTTCACTGCTGGCCAAAGGGATGCTGCGGAATTATTTCAAGTTAGCAGACCGCAACACAACGCCCCGCGAGCCGGGCAGCCTGGCTGCAGGACCCGTGCCTCCCTTCCGTGGGGACGGACAGACGGACGCTGCGCGCACCGACAGCTGCGTGCCGCTGCCCTGGGGACAGCTGGGGGACAGGGCCCCCAGTTGTTGTCTTACTGGGGGGGGGGAAAAAAGCTTCACAAAGTTGTGGGGGTGAGATTCTCACCACGACTTGGGCCCATAAATATTTCAAATCGCTGGAATAAGAACAATTATATTCCTGCCAGCGCTTTTCTTGTGTATTTTAAATGTGTCACCGCCTTCCACTTTCTCCCCCGTTTGTGTTTCTCGTAACAGGCCCATGAAATAAAGATTAGCTGAATAATCAAGAGTGTTTAGAAATGTGAAGGGGCTCGTCTCAGGAGCACTGTGCACTCAGGTTCATCTTTTTTTTTTTTCCTCTCCTCTTTTTAAGGATGCCAAACCCCGGCGGGGGAGGACAGTTTGCACACACCAAGAGCCAGGCTGGAGCGGGAGCGCACGGTGCCGAGCGCGCGGGGACGAGGCGAGCAGAGCGCACGCTTCCCCATCAAAAATGACAGCCTCAACACCAGGTGGAAGAGGGGGGCACTCTCCCCCATTACATATTTATTGTGCAAAGCTGCAGAGGGGCCAATTAAAACAGCTTGATCACTGCCACGTTCAGGCAGCCGCGGATGAGAAGCAGGAGGAGAAGCAGGTGTACGTTTTCCTGTTGCCGTTACAGCTCAGCTCGCTCCTCTGAGAGCCGCTGAAAATCCCAGCTGAACAAAGGTGCTGCCGAGGCAGAAGCCAGCTCCTACAGGAGGGCAGCACGCGGGCACCAAAAAGGCAGAACAGCTTTCCTCCTTCAGCCCTCCGCCCCCGTACCCCACGCAGTTTCTCGGTGTTTGCTTTTGCTTTGTTTCCTATTTCAGCTCTTCCTATATAAGCTGCCTCCTGCATGAGGCAGGCTGCACCCACATCTGCCCCAGCTTTCGGGCAATTGCTCCAAGACACGCTCCTGGCTCCAACGTTTAGCTGCAACAGGAGTTCCCGAAGTAAGTTCTGGAAAGCCTGGGAGTGGTGGTTAACCGGGGCTCTCAGGAAGATGCTGCAAATCACACCTTTCCCTGAGACGCCACAGGGTCTGCACAGCAAACGGCTCCAAATGCCATTTCCATTTAGCTGTTTTGCAAGCCAATTTGTCACATACTAATGTAATTTGCTGAAGAGAGTTAAAGAGCACAGGGCAGTAGCAGTCACCTTTTTTTTTTTTTTTTCCTCTCTCTCCAGACTCCCACATCCAGCCTGGATCTGCATTTTCGCTTTTGCATCAAAACCGAAATTCCCTTCTGTGAGAGGCGCAGGGAAGCTCAGGGTTAACACGAAGAGCAAGACGGAGTGATAAGAGCACCAGGAAAAGCTGTTTCCATCATACCGGTGGATTGTGTGCACGTCTCAGGCAGCATCTGTTACCTGTTTCTACCACACAAACTTGTTACCAGCCGGGGGGGAGCCTCACAATTAATTACATCAATAACAGTATAAAAACAATGAGAAGTGAACTGTGCTGGTCTTCCTGCAACAAGCACCACGGAGATGGTTGGGAATGGTGACTGGTTCCTACACAAGCCATTTCACAACAGTTATACATCCACAATGCCCATTCCTGGCGCCAAGTTTCTCAAGTCAAAGCTGTTTTATCCGGTTCCCCGCACCACCCCAAAACCACATTTAAGCTTTGAGGTCCTCAAAGTGACAACAAATGGCAAAAGGACAGCAATAAAGAAAAAAATATCACTTTTTCAAGGATCTAACACCTCTGTGTTAAAGGAAAAAAGCTAAACATCTGCTCAGAGGATGGCACAGATTCCTTCTGAGGCATCCATCTTTCAGCTGTAAAGTAGGTCATTTGATTTAACTTTTAGAAGCACCGTTATCAATGAGGCCATGCAGAGAAGGACAGCCAAGACCAGCTCCCTGAAGCCAGCTGAGATCTATTAAGCACATTCAAGCCACCAGCGAAGTATCAAGTGCTCAGCAAATAGCAAGGAAACCCGAGCAGCAGCAGGTTTTTGTATCACGGTGCTCTGCAAACTTCACATTTTCTCACCTCCAAGCCAATATCTTGAACCGCAGGTCACAGACGTACAGGGTCTGCTGTTTTTTTTTCCCCTCCACCACTTACTATTCGCGTCACTTAATATCAGACTATTGACTTTCTGATACCCCTTTGAACGCAGATTAACTGGACATCATTCACTTCACCTCCAGAATGAGCGTGAATGGGAACAAAGCCTGTGCTGCCTGACCAGGCCAGGTTAAAGGGAGGTCAGGAGACGAGAGGACAAGTGGCACCTCCAGCCTCTGCTGCGAGCACACGCGCACAGCTCCGGGGCTGGAGAAGACGCGGACCCCCGCACACAAGCCAGGATTTCCCTGAAGGGAGCCTGAACGCATTCATCTTCCTTCCCTCATTGCCTCTCCATAAAGGTCTTGCCAGGATTTGGGGAAGTTCTAAAAGGGGATTTTCTCCCCAGATTCAGGGGGTGCTTTCTAAGAACCCCTCCTCGCCAGCCGGAGCTGTGCCGGGGGGGGCTCATCCCGCTGCTGCCTGCTCCAGGAGCACGGCTGAGCGCTAACAAGTGCCGGCGGGATGCCGGGGGGGGACCCGCACCGCTCGGAGAACGGACCGGGAAGGGAAGGAAAGGGAAGGGAAGGGAAGGGGCCGGGGGAGCTCCCCGGGATTTCTGCAGCCCCCGCGGCCGCCGGTGGGCACCACCTGGGGGCTGCTCCCGGCCCCGGCCGGCAGCGCTGGTTCCGCGGGGGCGCTGGGCTCGGCACGGCTCGGCTGGGCTTAGCACAGCTCGGCTGGGCTAAGCAGGGCTCGGCACGGCTCAGCACAGCTCGGCACGGCTCCTGCCACCCAGCAGCGCACCCCGCAGCGCCCGGGGGCGGCGAGCCCCAGCCTCCCCCCGCACCCTCCCGGGCAGCCGCACCCCGGGGTGCCCTCGGGGGAGCCCCGCACCCTGGGGTGCCCTCGGGGCAGGAGCCCCTCTCCAGCCCCGGCCACTCACCAGACCTCGCGGCTCCGCTGCCGCCCTCCTCGCGGGGCTCCCCGGCTCACGGCGGGCAGAGCCGCACGGCCCCGGCCCCCTCCACGGTGCAAATCCAGGGCCGGGCGCCCGCCTCCGCCGCTGCTCGTCCTCCTTCAGCCCCGCAGCCTCCCCGGGTGCGGCGCGGTTGTGCTCAGCCTCCGGTGCCTCGGCAGCCTCCGGAGCCTCCGCAGCCTCTGCCCGAGTGCGGCGGCGGCGGCGAGCGCCGGCTCCCGGCCGCCCTCCCCAGCATCCGCCCGCCGCCCAGCCCGGGCGTGCTCCGAGCCTCCCCCCCCGGCTCCCTCCGAGCCCCCCGCAGCCCCGCTCCGAGCCCCCCGCTCCGCTCCGCTCCCCGCCGCCGAGCCCCGAGCCCCGGCGCTCCCCGCCCGCCGCCGCCGCCTCCCCCTGCGCCGCCCCCGCTCCCCGCCTTAACCCTTCCTCCGCCGAGCTGCGGGGCTCGCCCCCTTCGTCCCCCCCCTCCCTCCTCCCGAGGCCAGGAGGAGCAGGAGAACGCGGTCCCCAGCTCACCTGCGCGCCGCCGTCCTCCCCCCTCGCCAAAAGCCGCCCCCGTGCCCCGGTGCTGCTGGAACAAAGCCCCAAAGGCAGCTCGGGAACGGGCAGCTCCGGGGGCTGCCAGACCCCCGGGGGGGGGTTGCGCCTCCCCTGGCAGCACCGCACCTAGGGGGGGAATTAGGGGCTGCCCCCTCAGCTGTGCCCTTCCTGGCTCACAGCCCCCCAGCAGCTCAGTCCCCCCCTCTCCCTGGTGGGCCCCACTCCGTGAACTCCCCCAGGGGCTGCCCCAAACCCCCCGGGGGGTGCAGCGGGGCCCACCGGGTGCCCTCTGCTGGCACCTGGCACTGGAGGGACACGGAGACAGAGAAATCCTCTGTGTGTGCTCCACATCCAGGTGCAGAGGAAGAGGGAGAAGTCAAGGGGTAAATCTGAAGGAGGACAGCCCTTCGATCCCCCTTGCCTGCAGGAGCAGTTTCAGGGGAGAAGCCCCAGCCACTGTTAGTTTTGCTGTTTGACCCATGCACAGGGCTCCACAGCCTTTGCATGCTGCACAGCTCTGCTTCCTGCACCTTCCCTCTCAAGGGGATTTTTCCCCTCCTGGGGGGGCTGTAAACCAGGGCCTGCACTGCCCTGCTCCGGAGAGAAAATGGCACATTAGCTTGTGTGTGTTTCTCCCCATCTTTCCCCATCCTAATCACATCCAGCATCCTTCAGAAAAGGTTTTCCCTTCCAATACTGCCTGTACAAGACTCAGTGGAGCATGAGCCTACCTCCCTACGTGGCACGGTCAAGAGCCCAGTCCTGTTCCCATGAACAGGGTCCCCTTGACATTGCTGGGAGCTCTAGAGCAGGGCGCTTTGACATCCTGACGAGAGCTGTAAGTTGAAGCTGTTTAGCTCAGGAGAGGGAACAGAAGACACTCAGTGGATGGCAGCATTGGTTCCTTAGCAAGCTTTTCTCTTTCACTACCCTGTCCCTAATACATTTACTGTGTCATGCATTCACAGCGAACAGTACTAAATCCTATTACAAATACCATCCTTGGTTAAATGCGCATCCCACTAATGCAATTTCCCCTTTCGCAGAAAGCTGTACAAGGCAGGTCAGAGTGTCTCAACAACAATTTCTCTCCTCTTTGCAGGACCGTCTGCATCCTGTCTTCTGTATATTATTTATTGATGGTCAATTATGGTCATGTATGGAGAGTCTGTCCCGGGCTAATTACAGGATTGCTTGGCCGGGGAGCAGCCCTGAGACCCGCAGGGTAGCTCGTGTGTGGTGTGGGAGCAAAGGGCTGGGGGGAGCAACGCAAAACAGGTGGAGATTCACCTCGCTTTGCTCAGGTGATGGATGTGCTGCTCGTCTCTTGAGCTGTCTGTGTGCTCTAAATATTAGCAAGTTCTTTGCTGGAGCACCTGCTGCCAAATCCTTCTGTTGATATCTGCGTTCACCTTCTCCTGAAAAGCGTGATGGGTGCTAAGCACTGGAATCAAAGTCTGGAGCCCAAACAGAGGAAAGGACCTGCCTCTAATTTCATCAGATATACAGAGATGATGGGGTCCATCCCCCCAAAGCAGGTTCCCCGGAGCAAGTTGCCCAGGTGGGCATCCAGATGGGTCATGAATATCCCAGAGGAGACCCCCCAAGGCTTCACCCCTTCCCCGCTGCCTGCAGCCGCACGCAGCAGCACCCGACCTTCGCATTTGCTCTGCATTTGCCACCCCAAGGGTCAAAAAAACACCCAAAACCTCTGCCTTTCCCCCAGTCCCGCAGCAGATCCTCTCCTTCTCGCTGCTTGCGGAGCAGGGGACGAGCTCCCTCTGGAGGCCCCGGCGGCGGCTGCCGGCCCCGCGCCCCCCCCGCGCCCCCGGGCAGAGCCTGCCTGGTCCCCTGGAGAAGAACCTCGTCAAGTATTTTTATTTATTTATTCATTTTTTCTCTACTGTTCATAATACCTTCGTGGAAAATGAATTTTTATTTTCCTAACCCACTTCGTCCTTTCCCTCCCTCGGATTTTCTCATAAATGTGAGCTTTGGTTCCTGCCTCTGCATCCCATGGTTCGAACTGAGATGAAATTAACTCTGAAAGGTGGTTTTTTTTTTTTTTTTCCTCTTTCTTTTTTAAAACAAACCCTGTTTTCATTAAGTCCAAAGGCAGGAGAACAAAAAGTCCCAGGATCCCGAGTTATAGAGTGTCTTGTTACTGTCAAAAACACAATTGCTGACAACATCTGTGCTGGGGTTGTGTCAGAAACGCAAGGTGCAGACAATGTGCCATTCGGAGTTGGCTTCAGATAGCTAAGAATTACCTCAGCTGGAAAAAAAAAAAGAAAAAAAAAAGGAATCGTACAGAGAAGAGCCCAAAATAAGCCTGCCAAAAGACCAGTTCCACTTTGCTCTTTAAAATCAGACAAACAAGCACGGAAACTGGTCACGTTGGCCCATCCCCAGAAGGCAGCTGCATCACCTAGCCTGGCCCTTCCCTTGGCTCCATACTGTGACCACCCGAGGGCTACACCTGGGTAGATCTCAGCTCCTGCTTTACATAAATGTCCCACTGCACCCTTGGGTTTCCCACATCTCCCCCTGAATGTGCTGCCAGGAGCACGGAGAGCTCTCACCACGTCAGTCGGGCTAACAAAGAAGTCCCAAGAAAGGGCCCCTGGGGCTGGGCACCCTCCGGCTCTGCAGGATTTTCACCTAAACTCTGCTGAGAACCTGCCCCAGCTCCACCACCGACCCCTGCTCCCAGTTGCCCCCCCAGTGGCCACAGATGCTGGGGGCCAGCAATGTCCAGCAAAGCCCCAGAGGGGCTGCAGGGCTGGGCAGTGCCAGGCGCAGGGCACAACTGCAGCCCTTGGAGCCCATTACCAGCCCGCTAACTAAGGAGTGTCTGCACAGCCTTTGACATGAAACAGAAGACCAGAGCTACGCCAGCCTGTCACATCAAGGATTTACAGCTTAATGATTTCCTAAGGGCCAAATCCTGTTCCGACACGAGCGCGCCTGCTTTGCCATCAATCAGGGGCACGCGCCGAGCAAGGTGGGGACGTCTCCCTGCAGCGAGTGGTGCACGGGCACCCACCTCAACCAGGGAGCCCCGGTGCTGCCCAGCTCAGTGCAGCACCACAGACACAAAGGTTGCAGCCCCGATCTTCCCCCATGGCCAGTGTGGGTGCCACAAGAAACTGGGAAAAATTTGGGTCCATTTTTGACTTGCTCGCATAAATTGGTTGAGGCAGGCACAGCAAGACAAAAAGCTGGATTTTCTGTCGTTGGTTTGTCTACATTATTAATTATTTACTAATAACACATTTACAAACAAGCCCACGGCTTGGGGCAGCCTTTGAAGACTTCCAGTCTGTGTTTGTTCTGGTAACAGCAGAGGCTGCAGGGGAAAAGGCTTCATCACGCCGAGCTCCCCGCACGCACAGCCCCAGGTCCGTGCTCCAGCCTGGTTCCCAGCCCCAATTCCCACCACCTCCAGCCCAGGGGACCCCAGTGAGCTTTTAGGGACTTGCATGGTCCCCAACCCTGATGGTTACAAGATTTGCAGAAATCCTCAAAAATGGCATTAGTGACACAAACGTCCAGTTTTAAGAGCTGGGTACTCAAAGCATGCGTGGGGACTGCTAACACAGAGCTTTAACTGCAGTGCTTGGGTGTTTTCCAAAATTGCTGGTCTAAAGAGCCGCATCTCGCATCCCTCGGGATCAACTGAAGTTTGCAGGGTTCCCACTGCCCCTGTATGGGGAAGGGGCATCTTTGGGAAGAAGCATCCACGCGACCTGGTTACGCATCCTAGGAAGCCTGAAAGGTGGTCGCTGTGATTAACAAGCTGTTTTAGCAATAAATCTCTCCCGCCTGCTCATTGCAGCATGTTCATTGGAAATCTTTAGTTCCTTCATCATAAAGAAATGAGTGTTTCAGGCTCCCTGTCCTAATGAACATAAAATATGAAGCATATTGTCAAAGATGCCGTAGCTCTGCCTTTTATTCTACAACAGTCTTTTTAATTTTTCCTGTAGGCAGTGTTTATTACTAACAATGCAAAACTAAATTATTTAAAGCCCTAATTTCATCTGATTTTTCCCTCCTGTCTGAGCAGATTGAGATTTTTTCACTCTATAATGGGTGGGAGGGGGGATGGAGCTGGAAATCCTTTGATTTGTGGCTCTGTGATTGTTAATCTTCTGCTGTGAATTCTGCAAAGCATTTTGTAAGTGACTGAGGAATGCGGAGCCTGAAGTCTGCTTATCATTTCATGCTCTTTTCAGTATTTTTAGGAGTTTTTTTTTTCAGGAAAGGGTGGGGAGGGAGATACTCATAGTCAAAAGCAGACACAAGTTAAAAGAAACTCCTCTCTCTTCAGAGCATTCAGCCAAAGTCAGAGAAACCCAGCACAGGTACAGGCTCATTTTGAACATTTGTATTATCAATCTTGATACAATCGCTAAGAATCCAGACTCCCTGAAAGGGGGGAGGAGGAGGAGGAGAAAAAAATAGACTTCAAGTGCACCTGCCTTTTAATTTCCCTCATTATTTTGCAGGATATCTTTCCATCTAATCTGCTTCTCCAGAAGCTCCCTCTACCTCTCTCGGTGCTCATGTGCACGTGTGTTTTGGGCAGGGCCTGCCCGGGGAAAACCTGATTTCATCCATCCAGGGAGATGCTCAGGCCCGGAGCTGATGCTCACCTCTCCCATGTCCCCCAGTGCGCCCCCACTGCACAGAAACCTGCCTGAGTCCAAAAAGATGCATCACAGAGAGTGATTTATTGTGTGTGCGATTATTGC